AATCACCCTGCCCAGGATGGGCTATAAGCCCAGAGAGACTCCCCAGTGTGAGGAAAAAGTGAGAAATCTTCAGTAGTCCCCATCCTCACCATGGACTCTGCCAGTCCTAGCCACAGGAGAACCCCTCTGCCCTTACAGACCCTGAGACTGGCATAGGGAGCTGCCTGGAATCCATACAACAGCACTGTTCCAGATAGGGAGTTAACACTGAGTCCCACACATCTCCTGAGACCCAAGCAGCTTCAGCACAGTGCTATATTGAGAGCCCAGATCTTCTTCACAATACTAGTAAACCAAATCCAACAATACATTTAAAAAATATAATACACCACAATCAAGTGGGATTTAACCAAGGGAAGTAAGAATGGTTCAACATATGCAAATCAATAAATATAACACATCATATTAACTGAATGAAGGACAAAAACTATTTGATCATGTCAGTATATGCAAAAAAGGTATTTTATAAAGTTCAACATCCCTTCATGATAAAATATCTCAATAAATCACATAGAAGGAACAACCTCAACATAATAAAGGCCATATATGACAAAACCACAGCTAAATCACTCTGAATGGAGAAAAGCTGAGAGCCTTTCCTCTAAGAACTGGTACCAAAGATTCCTACTTTCATCACTTCTATTTAATATTGTACTGGGAATCCTAACCAGAGATATCAGTCAAGAGAAAGAAATAAAATGTATCCAAATTACAAAACAGGAAGTTAAATTGTCCCTGTCTGTAGATGACATGATCTTATATATAGAATAATCTAAAGGATTCCCCTTAATAACAGAACTGGTAAACAAATTCAGTAAAGTAACAAAACCACAGGATACAAAATCACAAATCAACATCTAAAAATCAATAGTGTTTCTATATGCCAATAATGAACCTGCCAAAAAAGAACTCAATAAAGCTATCCCATTTACAATAACTACAATTAAAATAAAATACCTAGGAATAAATTTAACCAAGGAGGTGAAAGACCTGGCTATGGTTTGAACATGGTTTGTTTGGCCCAGCCAAGTCTCATGTTGAAATGTGATGCCCAATGTTGGAGGTGGGGCCTGGTGGGAGGTGTTTGAATTGTGGGAGCATATCCTTCATGAATGGTTTGGTGCCATTCTTGAGGGAGTAGGTGACTTTTTACTTAACTCCCATGAAAACTGGTTGTTAAAAAGAAAAGCCTGGTACCTCCTTCTCCTCTCTCTCTCGCTTCTGCTCTCTCACTATGTGTTACCTGTTCCCCTTTGCCTTCTGCCATAAATGGAAGCTTCATGAAGCCTTCATCAGAAACAGATGCTAACGCCATGCTTTTTGGACAGCCTGCAGATCTGTGAGTCAAATAAACCTCTTTTTTTAATAAACTACCCAGCTACAGGTATATCTTTATAGAAACACAAAGAGAATAAGGTAGACTTCTGCAAGAAAAACTACAAAACACAGATAAAAAAAATTGAAGAAGCACAAACAAATGGAAAGACATCTATGCTTACTGATGGGAAGAATTCATATTGCTAAAATGACCATACTACCCAAAGCAATCTACAGATTCAATGCAATCCCTAACAAAATACCCATGATATTCTTCACATAATTTTTTTAATTTCTAAAATTCACATGGAATGATTTTTTTTTAAGCCTAAATAGCCAAAGCAATCTTGAGTCAAAAGAGCAAAGCTGGAGACATCACACTACCTGACTTAATAACCAAAGCAATCTTGAGTAAAAAGAGCAAAGCTGGAGACATCACACTACCTGACTTATTAAGCCAGCATAGTACTGGCATAAAAACAGACACATAGACCAATGGAATAGAACAGAGAACCCAGAAATAAATTCACATAACTTTGGTCAACTGATTTTTGACAAAGGCACCAAGAAGATACAATGAGGAGAGGACACCTTCTTCAATAAATGGTGCTGGGGAAATTATATATCTAAATGCAGAAGAATGAACCTGACCTCTACCTTTCACCATATACAAGAATCAACTGAAAATGGATTCAAGACTTAAAAGTAAGACTCAAAACTATAAAAATACTGGAAGAAAACATAGTGAAAACGTTCCAGGACATTGTCTAGCCAAAGAGTTTATGGTTAAGATCTCAAAAACATAGGCAACAAAAACAAAAATAGAAAAATGGAACCATATTCAACTAAAAAGCTTCTGAACATCAAAGGAAACAAGCAACAGAGTAAAGAGACATCCTGTTGAATGGGAGAAAATATTTGCAAATAATTCATCCAAGAAGGGACTAACCTTCAGAATTACAAGGAACTCAACAGCAAAAAAGCAAATAATCTCATTAAAAAGTGGGCAAAGGATCCAAATAGACATTCCTCAAAGAAGACATACAAATGGTCAACAGGTAAGTGGGAAAATGCTCAACATCACTAATATTCAGGGAAATGCAAATCAAAGCCATAAGGAGTTATAATCTTACCCCAGTTAAAATGACTATTATCAAAAAAAATCAAATGCTGGTAAAGATGCAGAGATAAGGGAACTCTTGTACACTGTTGGCAGTAATGTCTGTTAGTACAACCATTGGGGAGAATAGCATGAGATTTCTCAAAAAAACTAAAAATATAACTACTATCAGAGCCAGCAATCTTTCTACTGGGAATTTATCTAATGGAAAGGAAATCAGCATATCAAAGGGATACCTGCACCCTCATATCTATTGCAGTACTATTCATACTAGGAAAGACATGGAGTTAACCTAAGTGTCTATCAATGGATAAATGAACAAAGAAAATGTGGTATATACACATAATGGAATTCTATGTTGCCATAATAAAGAATTAAGTATTATCATTTATAGCAACATGGATAGAACTAGAGGTCATTATGTTAAATGAAATAAGACAGGCATAGAAAGATAAATATGGCATGTTCTCACTCATATTTAGGAGGTACAAAAGTTGCTTTTATGGAGGTAGAAAATAGAATGATGGTTACCAAAGGATGGGAAGGATTGGGGAGGTATTAAAGAGAGGTTGGTTAAAGAGTACAAACATACAGTTAGATAGAAGGAATAAGCTCTAGAATTCGATAGCACAGCAGGATAACTATAGTTAATGATAAAATATTGTATATTTCAAAATAGCTAGAAGATTTGAAATTTTCTCAACAAAAAGACATGATAAATGTTTGAGGTGATGAATATCCTAAATACCCAGACTTGATCATTACAAATTCTATGCATGTATCAAAATTTTCCATGTACCCCATAAATATATACAAATATTATGTATCAACAAAAAAATTGCATTTTCTTCTTGCATCCAGTGCTTCTATTGGCAAATCAGATTTTTTTCAATTATTATTTGTTGAGGAGATGCAAAATGTCAACACTGTTTTCATATTGGGGTTTTAATTTTTTTAATTGCAATGTTTTTGTGTTCAGCTGATCATGTTATGTCTCTGGATGATTTTAGAATTTTTACTTTGTTATTTATGTTGCTAGATTTCACTACACATGTGGTGTCTTTTCATAATTTTCTCTATGAGCACTTTAAATACAGGGTCATCAATTTTTCTTCATTTCTCCATAATTCTTGGTTACTATTTCTTAAAATATTTCCTTCTGTCTGTTTATATTTTCCTTCTAGGACTTTCATATAAAATCTAGTCAGTCTTCACATTACTTTCACGCTTTTCAACTTTGTATCCCTTTCTGATATCTTAAGGAAAAGTAGAGTCTCTAGACCAAATATTCTAGCTTTGGAATTCACTCTTCAACTTTACACATTTCTGCTATTCAATCTATTGCTTTTAACCATCATATTTTTCACACAATCCTAGAGAAATGGTGGTGGCCCAAACAAAGGTAATGCAAGTGAGAACAGAGAGAGATGGAAACATTTGGATTATCATTCAAGAAATATAATAAACATGACTTGGTAATAGATGGTGAGAGAAAAGAGTTGAAAATATTCTGGTTCTGGCCTGAGCAAATGGGTGAGTGGGCAGCAATGTTTACGGAGAACAGGAGGGCAGTTTGGACTTGTCCAACGGGATCAGTCTCCTATCAGAATTGGAGAGACTGAACCATGCTCCCCTGAGAGAACAACCGCTTATGACAAATTTTAACTAATTTGTGTGCCTGCAAATAACCTATTGGTCAAATTTGTTGAAACTGCTGCAATCTTTTCAACTCATTTCAAATACATGAATTTTTAGAATTACAAGGAGCCTGTGGATACAAGAACATCGGATTGAGCGTACAAACAGGAACTTGCTGTTCCTAAAAAATGTATTTCATAGTTTTTGGAGGCAAGAGATGAGTTTTGGGAAGACAAAAATATGAATAAAAGCAATGTACTCTAATATTTCTTACATCAGAGTAAGACCTAAGTACCGTGCCGCAGGCAGTCAGTACAGACAAAGCACGGAGAAGCGCACAGACCGTGACTCGCGTCTTTGGCGCTCGCGCCCTCTCCCGTCCCAAGGATCAGACACGAGAGACGCTGCCTCATAGTCTCGCGAGAGGAACGGGGCTAGCTGCTCCTCCGATTCTCCCAGCCCAGCCATGCGACCTCCCACCTGCTGAGACACGGAATCTGAAAAACCCCAGGGGCTTCTGGGAATCGTAGTTCCGGGTGGGATGCGGTCGGCCGGCCATGCCCGTCTCCTTCTTACGCATGCGCGATTCCGAGCTGGCCCAAGAAGTTCGTAGCCTTTGTCAGGCCCGGGATGGGAGGTGAGTTGGTTGTTCTGATGCCGCTCCTCTTCGCTTGGCCTCGGTGGTGGCCCCTCGGGAGTCGTTCTGTAGCGAGTCGCGGCTGGAGTGCGCGTTTGTGGAAAGGGCCACGAGAACGACCATGATCCGCATCCCTCACTCTCTGGCCTGAATTCCGGCCCCGGGGACAGGAGTCCGAGCGTGGTGCCGGCGGGTGCGCGACAGGGGGCCGGCGTGGCGGGCGCGGGTCCTGGGCGGGTGCCCGGAGCGCGGCGGGATTTGTCTGCGCTCCTTGTGTCTCGGCGGCAGCCCTGGCAACATCTCTTCCAGGCTTTCGGTCCCCCTAGGGACAGCTCCAAACGGCAGGGACAGGCATCTGAGGACCCAGCCTCAGGGATGTTGTTCCCGGCTTCAGCGCCCTAGGACCCAGGCAGGTGCTAAAGTGAAGAAGAAACCCGGCCCGACCTGACCGAGACATTTCAGCAGAGCTCCGGAGGGAAGGAAGGAAGGAGGACCACGAGGCTTTGGGGACTTCTAACTAGTCCACCCAGAGAAGTCTGCATTGGGGGGAAGAGCAGAATCTTCAGAACAAGAAGGAGGTGGTGGTCATGGAGACAGATGTGACCGAAATGCCCGAGAAAAGAGGTGAGACTTGCTCAAGTGTTGAGCCTGTGGCGTGGAAGGGTGAGATTCTCACTCCTGAAGTGGGGAGGTGGCTCTTAGAGAGGGCTGTGTTTCCATTGTCTTGGTCATGGATGGGCTTTCTGAGTGAAACTGGAGGGTTTGGTATGCGATCACCCCTCTTTCCACTGCAGCTGTATGCACAATGGACCCTTCAAAGCTATCCCCCAAATGTGAGTGGAACATTAGCTTCTAAAGCATGAGCAAAGCCTCAATTGCCTCATTTTCTCACACGCTCTTTCTCCAGAATGATGATCCCAGTCTAGTCTCCATCATTGGGGCTGAGAATTTATCTTTTTTTCTTGGTCAAAATATTTTGTTTTACATAGAAAAAAACAGGCATAGTAGTCAGTGACTAACTTCCAGTTATTCTAGGCCAGTGTTTCTTGAAGTTTGGTCGGTGATCTCCTACATCAGAATTCTCCTTGGGGTGCTTGTTAGATTTCTAGATTGCACCCCAGACTCAACTAGTGATAATGACTTTCAGGTAGAGTCCAGCAATCAATATTTATAAATACGCTTGCAGGGTGATTTTTTGAGAACCATTTAATATAGATTAAGCTGGGAAATTAACTGACATATTCTAATTTCTAGATCAGAGAGTGCCATCTTCCAGAATGTGTTATGATGGTAACAACTGAATTTGAGCCCCAAGTAGCAACATATCTGTACATTCTCCATGATCCTGGGAGATCGTTGGTTGTTTTGGGCTCCCTTCAGTCTCAGTGTTTGTAGGGAGCACATGTATTATGATGAAGGAGTTTTTAGTCTTGTAATCTGAGTGACTAGATCGGTCTAGGTTCCCTTGTTACTGCTTTCTTGCCTTTAGCTCTGTCTTCCCAGAATTCTCCCCTTTGTCAAGAGGAGAACACAGAAGAGGGAGAAGTGGCAGCTCTGCGCCTCACAGCCAGATCCCAGGTGAGTGTGTCTCTATTATTGGAATTACACCCTATTTCTCAGATGCACACCCTTCTTTTTGATGTGGAGTTTCTTTTTCCACTAGAGCCCATCTAGAGAGTTGAGTTCTAATTCTAAGAGACTTAGTCAGGAAACTAATGGACTCAGTAGAAAATGTCTTATTCTTACCCATAATATTAAATGGATTTCTTCTCCATTTAGTTTTTATTGTCCCTCAACAGGCAGGTAAGCAACATTTCCCATTTTTAGTCTACTATGATAATTTCTGTGCTTGGTAATATGGGAAACTATTTTAAAGATAATGTGGTGCATTGTAAGAAAACTTCTCTAGAGGAAACAACATGTATATGACTTTAAGTAGGAATTTAAGTACCTTAAATGTTGGAGGTGATTGTAAAATAGTAAGTACTCAGAGAATTCAAAGGAGGAAAAAGAAAAGACTATAAAGGCTTAATTTAGAGTTGGACTCGGTGGCTCAGCCTGTAATCCTTTGGGAGACTGAGGTGAGTGGATTACCTGAGCCCGCGGGTTCAAGACCAGTCGGGGCAACTTGGTGAGACCTCATCTCTACAATAAATAAAAAATGATCCAAGCATGGTAGTGTGCGCCTGTAGTTCTGGCTACTTGGAAGGCTGAGGTGGAAGGATTGCTGGAACCCAGCAGGTTGACGCTAGGGTGGCCGTGAATATGCCACTGCCCTCCAGCTTGGGCCACGGAGTGAGACTCCAACTCAAAAAAAAAAAAAAAGGCTTAATTTAAAGAATTAAAATCCAGCTCTCTGAGATAATGAATGCAAAGGTCTCATCATGTCTGCAAGTTACTTTTATATTGTTGCTTCTCTCTCCTAAAGGGCAAATATGGCAAATATTAAGAATTGTTGAATTTAGGTGGTTGTTCTATATAGGTGATTATTATATTTGTCTTTCAACTTTTGTATGTTTGAAAATTTTATTAAAAGAAATAGGATAGGAAAAAAGAAGCTTTGCATATTTTGTGTGGCATCCCACAACCCAAAGATTCTTCTATCAGCCTTTCTCTTTGCTACTATAATCCAAGGTATAAAAAGTAGATATTGCAGATTGGTAACATTGGTAAAAGTGACCTATCAGGGCCCTTTATATACTTGCCTGTCTCCATTGGCTTCTCGACTGCCTTAGATTAGCCTCAAAGGCTTTCTCAGTCAAGAAGCTTTAAGTTGCTACTGGTGAAAGCTCAACTCAAACTGGCCTGAGCAAAAAAGAGTTATCTGACTAACATGACTGAAAAATTCAAGTCTGCCTAGACATAAGTCTCAAGCAGTAACATTAAACCTATTCTCCCCATTTCACTGATCTTTATTTTTTTGCTCTCCAGAGGTTTTTCTCCTAGTGTTGGCCTCTAACAAGTTTAGGCTTATATCTTTCCATGTTGAAGGCCAGAGAAAAAGGACAGCTTTTCTCCTAATCATCCCTGCAGTAGAAGTGCTGGGATTGACTCTGATGGAGTATTAGGCCATTTCTGGACCAGTTATTGGCTAGATCTAAATGTAATTCTCTATGGAATATGCCTACACACACATACAAACGTGCCTCCCACCCATGAATCAGAGGATGTCGGTACTGCCTAAACTTCAAAGACTAGAAGTGGCTGGACATAGAGCTAGAGGAAAATCAGGGTACAGGTACCAGAAGAAAGGTTAATATTTTATATATTTTGATATTAGATTCAAGAAGTGGATTGAACCTCTTATGAGTTGATGAAAAAGCTAAACTGCAAAATATTTACAGAGGTTTATTCTGAGCCAAATATGAGTGATATAAGCCTATGGCACAGTCCCAACAAGTCCTGAGAACATGTGCCCAAAGTGGTTGAATTACAGCTTGCTTTTAAACATTTTTAGGGAGGCAAAAAATACAAATCAATACATGTGAGGTTCTACATTGGTTGGGCCCAGAAAGGTGGGACATCTCCAAGTGGGAGCCTACAAGCCAGAGGTAGAGTCAAAGGATTTCTCTTTGGCATTTGGTAGCTAGTTTAAGCTCTGTCTAAAAAACTTGAAATCAATAAAAGAAATAATCGAATTAAGATGGTGGGATTGTGGAAACCAAGGTTCTTGTTATATTGAAAGCCTCTAAGTAGCGTGCTTTCAATTCTTGCTCATTGTAATAGCACAGACATACAAAAACATAAAGGTATAATTACTACTTCCCTCCCCAAATTCAGTTCCTTACCTCTCTCCACTAAGAGTAACAGTTTAGTGTATATTTTTCCATATTTTTTTGTTGAGCTTGCACCACTGTTTTCTGATATGATATACTGTATTTACTTCCATTTATTCCCTAGTACCCAACCTAGTTATTATATTTTGTTTGGGATGGCTTATTCTATAAACAGGATGTGGCTTTGTAAAAAACTTTTTCGTAAGGGAAATTTACTCATTCACATGTAATATGTATGTTTCAAATGTTCCTTGCCATGTGATTTTCATAATTCTGTTTCCTGTACTTTCTTTGTTTTGTGTGTGTGTGTTAGTGCCATGTGTGCAATTATTTGCATTTTTGTTGTACTGATTTCTTTTCTTCTAAATGGTTGGCAGTTAATCCTAGTGTTAATTTACTTGTGTATGTTCAATTCTAGGATCAAGGTTATTTTTCCTTATACTGTCTTTTCTACTTAGTGGCTACTTAGTGATTTTTACATTTTATTTTCAAAGGGTGATCCTTTTATTGCATCTCAAATTATTTCCATTAATGTGAACTTTACTTTGAAATAATTTTAGACATAAGAAATGTTGCAAATAGCACAAAGATTTGTATATATATGTTTCATCTAGATTCTCTAAAAGTTAACACTTTATTTTGCTTTATTATTCTTTCTCCAAAATCAGGACATTGATATTGGTATAATACTATAACCTACTGACCTTATTCAGGTTTTCTAGCTGTCTTATTTTTCTGTTTTCAAAGTTTCTGCTTTTATTCTGCAATTCTTTATTTTCCTTTGTTCTTTTTATAACTTGATATATATACCTCACTCATTTATTTGATTTTTTTTTTTAAAGAAATTGAAATATTTTAAGCTATGAAATTTCCTGTTAATACAGTTTTAGCCATTTGGCATTGATTTTATATTTTCATTATTATTTTGATATTTTGATTTTTTTCAATTATCAATTATTTCCATGTTCTATTTTCATTTGGTATTTATTGAAATTTATTTTACTTCTTGCAAATACTTCTTGAATGTTTAAATAGAAAGGTGTTTTCTATCCAGTTATAGCATTTGGTGTATATTTATTTCAGTAACCTTGAAATATTATTCCCATTGTCTATAACTTTACTTAAAGGGGCATGTTCAATACTAATATGTACGTCTCCTTTTAGTTTTTTTTATGTTTTGCTTTATAGAAATGTAATCTTGTGATAGTTTATACATAAACATTTGTGAATTATATCTATACTCTTTATTTTTTGTAGTCATTTTCCAATTTAGTGCTTTTTGCCTTGAATTAATTCATGTTTAACTGGATTGTTGCTTGCTGCCATTTTTTTCATTCCTTAACTTTTCTATTTACAAGTTCTATAATACAGTTCATCTTGTGATTGGCTAGCTTGATTCTTAAAATTTTTAATAGGACTCAGGTGAATTATGCAGATGTACCTTTTGTTCTACTTATATTTTACTTTCTCAAACTTTTCACTCACTCATGGGCTCATATTTTAATAATTTATTCCCCCAGAAAAATTATAATCTTCCAATGGAGAAACCACAGTCTTATTTTGGTTCTCATATTGAATCTATTACAGTGTGTCTGGCACATAATCGATACCTCTTACATAGAATACTTGATGTCTGAATACCATTAGAATACTTGTTGTTTATTGCAGTCACTTCCTCTGTTGAGTGTATCTCAGGTCTTTACTCAAAGGCCAGGAGAACCAGGGATGAAAGGGAGGCTATCAAGTGAAAGATAGTGAAAAAATAAATAATATATATGTTTTGTGTCCTAGGAAACAGTGACGTTCAAGGATGTGGCCATGGACTTTACACCAGAGGAGTGGGGGAAGCTGGATCCTGCCCAAAGGGATGTGATGCTGGAAAACTATAGGAACCTGGTCGCACTTTGTAAGACTGTATTCTCATTGTCACTCCAGAAACTGCTTGTGGGGCATCATTACTTTATTGCAAGTGAAATAGCTTAACATAGCCTTCACTTTTGCATTACGGAACTAAAAAGCGTTTATTCTTTTGAGCTAGAGAAAATCCGTTTCAGCTCTAGGACCTTGGTGAGATGTCTGTGCTTATTTTGTATCAGGATTCTTTGGATTTAAGTGATAGAAACCTTGAGTTGGGGAGGGTCTCACTGTCTTGCTCAGGCTTGAGTGCAGTGGCACAATTACAGCTCACCTCAGCCTCAACCTCCTGGCCTCAGGTGATTTTGCTACCTCAGCTTCCTGAATAGCTGGGACTCTGGCTTGCCACCACACCTGGCAACTTTTTTTGATTTGTTTTTGTTTTTTGTAGAGATGAGATCTTGTTATGTTGCCTAGGCTGCTTTCAAACTTCTGGGTTCAAGTGATCCTCTCACCTCAGCTTCTCAGAGTGCTGTATTAAAGCCATGAGCCATTGTGCCCAGTCTCCAGTGATAGAAACTTAATTCACACTAGCTTAAAGAGGAAAAAAAAATGTATTTCAGGGAATTCAGTATACTGTCAGTATTTCTTTTTTTTTTTCCTTATTGAGTCAAGGTCTCACTCTGTCACCCAGGCTGGAATATAGTGGCCAAGTCACAGCCTTAGCCTCCTGAACCCAGCTAATTGTTTCACCTCAGCCTCCCAAGTAACTAGGACTATAGGCATACGCCACCACGCCTGGCTAATTTTGTTTTTGTTTTTGTTTTTTGTAGAGAGGTTTCACTGTGTTACCTAGACTGGTCTCAAACTCCCGGGCTCAAGCAGTCCTCCTGGCTCAGCCTTCCAAAGTGCTAGGATTACAGGCATGACCCACCACACCGAACCAGGAATTTATTTTATTTGTTTATTTGTTTATAATCAGTTGTCTTGGTTTTGCCTTATATTAGCTTTATTTTTAAGGTCTCCCCATGTGGCAAAGATTGCCATTGGCAGCCCTGGGATTACGTTATTCTTCTAGAGAGCTAATGAAAAAAAGAAAAGGATTCTATTCTGAGAGTTTTCACAAATCAAGTCACATGTTCATCAGCAAAACAGTCACTAGAACCAGAGAGAGTGCTCTGTGTTTAGTTCTAGGTCTTGTGCCACTCCTCTGTGTATGTGTCTGTGTGTGTGTGTGTGTGTGTGTGTGTGTGTGTGTGTGTGTGTGTGTATGTGTGTATACATGTGCACAAGCATGCATATGTTTGAGGGGTAGTAGGGACTATGTTAGTCCCTCCCAAATCTCGTATAACAAATCCCCCAAGAAAGTAACTTCTAGTAACTGAGAAAAGAGAAAAGGAAAGACTTTCAAGGACAAAAACTCAGGTTACCATAGCCACAATTTTGTGGTACTGCCACTAAGGTCCCACTTTTCCCATCTTCTTTACTGAAATAAGGACTAATCCACAATATCTCTGAAACTTTGTCGCATAATAAGGAAATAAGGAGAAATTCTGTTCTTTTTTGACAGGTGAAAACATCTCTCTTCACAAACCAAATTTTTAACTCCCTACCAGGCTCAGACTCCTGCTGCATATACTTTAAGCTCCATTTAGAAGCCCATCCTCCCTTACTCCAGAGCTTTTTGTAATATCTTGTATTCGTAGATCAAGGGATGAGAATTGTACTCCAGTATAGATTGTGCCCATCACAAATAATGAAGTCCCATATTTTTTTTCTCTTTCTTATTTTTCATTTCTTTTTTTTTCTTTTTTTAAAATGAACAGGGCTTCCAGTTTCCGAAACTGAGAACTATAAACTGGAGAATGGAAAAGAAGCATTGAAGCTTGAGAGAAAAGCCCCCAAACGCAGCTATTCAGGTAAGTCTAATAGATCAGAGTCTTTAAAAATGATAGCCCTGCAAGACAGTGAAGAAGTGGCACTTTTCATTGCTTAAAAAAGATTATTAGAAGTGCCTGTGTGCCTTTATTTTTAAAATAGTGCAGCATTTTAAATGCAATACAGAAGTTCAGAAAATAAAATCACATTCATATATCCATCACCAACATTAAACACATGCTAATATTTGGCTTCATTTGCCTCATTTTTTCTCTTCTTTTCTTCCTTTACAATATAAAATGCACAAAACTATCATAATTGTACAATTCTGAGTTTTCATCAGTTGAACACATTCATGTAACTAGTGCCTAGATCAAGAAAACAACCTTACCAGCACCACTAGAAGCACCCTTATGCCTTCTTTCAGCCACCACCCTCCTCCCAAGAGTAGCCTTATCCTAACTTGTAGCGCTCTAGGTTAGTTTCAACTGTTCTTGAACTTTATAAAAATGGAATCACATTATACATACATACTCTTATATCTGGCTTCCTTTACTGAACATTAGCTGTGAGATACATTCATGTTGTTATTTGTTCATATTCATTGTTATATAGTCTTTCATTATGTCAGTATACCAGTTTATCATACTTCTAAAGATGGGCATTTGTGTAGCTTCTAGTTTTTGGCTAGATGCTGTGTACATTTTCTTACATGTCTTTTGGTGAACACATATATCTGTTGGATAATATATACATATTCAGGGAATTCGATATATTATCAAGATCATATATAATTGTTGGATCATAGGGTAGGTGCATGTTCACTTTTGATAGACACCGCCAAAGAGGTTTCTAAAGTCATCGTACATGTTACATTCCCATTAGCATAACATATGAATTCTAGTTGCTCCACATTCTTGGTAGCACTTACTATTGTCTGTTTTCATTTTAGCCATTCTTATGGGAATATGGTATCTTTTACTTTTTAAAAAATAAAAAAATTATGTATTTAGTTAGTCTTTTTATTCTCATTCTCCCTTAGAAGTAACCAGTATAGGCCGGGCTCGGTGGCTCAGCCTGTAATCCCAGCACTTTGGGAGGCCGAGGCGAGTGGATTGCCTGAGCCCACAGGTTCGAGAACCACCTGGGTAATTTGGCAAGACCTCGTCTCTACAATAAATCAAAAACTAGCCAGGTGTGGTAGCGCACACCTGTAGTTCCGGCTGCTTGGAAGGCTGAGGCGGAGGGATCGCCGGAGCCCAGCAGGTTGAGGCTGAGGTGGCCGGGAGCATGCCACTGCACTCCAATCTGGGCAACAGAGGGAGACTCCAACTCAAAAAAAAAAAGTAACCAGTATATCTTGAAGTTGGTGTGAATCATTCCAACGTTTGCATGTGTATGTGTATGCATGCACACACATATATGTGTATATAAAACAGTGTGTGCCGGACTCGGTGGCTCAGCCTATAATCCCGCGCCTTTGGGAGGCTGAGGTGAGTGTATTGCCTGAGCCCGCGGGTTCGAGACCCACCTGGGCAGGCAAGACCTCATCTCTACAATAAAATTAAAAAATTAGCCGGGCATGGTAGCGCGCACCTGTAATTCCGGCTACTCGGAAGACTGAGGCAGAAGGATCGCTGGAGCCCAGCAGGTCGAGGCTGCAGTGGCCGGGAGCGGCCACTGCACTCCAGTCTGGGCAACAGAGTGAGACTCCAACTCAAAAAAAAAACAAACAAAAAAAAACAGTGTGTATACTTTTTCTTCTGTAATCTAATTTTTAAACTTCACATTGTATTTTGATATTAATTTGTTAATGCATATGAATTGTGTTTATTCATTTTAACCACTGTGGAGTGAATCCATTATGTGAAGAAACTGAACAGTTTATTTTTACTTTCTTGCCATTCGTTAACAGAGTTGCAGTGATTATCCTTTTATTGATTCCATGTGTTAGTCTTGAGAGCTGGTTTAGAGTAGATAACTGGAAGAAGAATGACAGGTCTTAACTACTCATATATTTAGCTTTACTAGTAACTGCCAAGTTTCTTTCAGCATCCTGGCCAACACTTGAAGTTATTGGACTTGTTCATTTTTGTCAATCTGATGGATGCAAAATGATTTTTATGTTTTTAAACTTGCATTTTTCTGAGTGATAAATAAAAGTGAGTTTGAGCATTTCATGGTAATTGGCTGTTCAAGATTTTTCTGTGAATTACCTATTGATTACCAGTTTTTAAAAATTGTGCTGTTCATATCTTTCTCTTGATTTGTTGGGGTTCTTTATATATTTTAGATACTAATATATGACAGAGGCAGCGTTGGAAATCATTGAGAAAAAAAATTGATTCTTCCAATTTTGGCTTTATTTTGTGATTTCTTAAGTATATAGATTTTTGTTTTTTTAATTGGAGTCTCTCACTCTGTCGCCCAGGCTGGAGTGCAGTGGCACGCTCCCGGCCACCGTAGCCTTGACCTGCTGGGCTCTGGCAATCCTTCCACCTCAGCCTTCCAAGCAGCCGGAACTATAGGCACGCGCTACCACGCCCGGCTAATTTTTGATTTTTGGTAGAGACAAGGTCTCACCAAGTTGCCCCACGGGCTCAGGCAATCCACTCACCTAGGCCCCCCAAAGTGCTGGGATTACAGGCTGAGCCACTGAGCCTGGCCTGCATATAGAATTTTTAAGTTTTAATTTCAGATTTATCAATTTTTTTCTGGACTGTTTATTTGAACTGTCTATGTTATCCCAATGTCAGAAAGATAATCTGTGTATTATTCTAAAATTTCAAGTTTTGTTTTCCAGGTATTTATATTTGTATATGGTGTGAAATAGGAAACTGATTCCATCTTTTTCCATGCTTAACATCAATAGTTCAGCATCATTATTGGATGACTCTTTTGTTATTGACTTGAATGCTAACTCTCTGGTAAACCCAGTTTCCCTACCTACCTGTATCTGTTTCTAGGCTTTGTAGTTTACTTGTCTATCTACGCTCCAATACCATTCTAGTGTAATTGCTATAATTAATAGTGTGTATGTCTCATAAACAAAATCTTCACTGAATATTATTCTTTTTTAAAATCTGATTCTTTTGAATACTATAAGTTTTTTAATCTTTCCCTGTGTTGATGGATATGCCTGTTTCTCCTTGTAAGCCTATCAGTTTTTGTTACTTGCCTACTCACCACCCTTCCCCTTTTATAGGGTGTCATTGCTATTTTCTTAGCGTTCTGCAAGAACTCTTCATATATGAGATTTTTATCCCTTGTCACGTTACAGATAGTTTTTCTAGTTTTTGCTTTTCAGTTTTACTATGCTTTTTGATGTGCAAATGTGATGTTTTGTTATCTTTTCCTTTTAATTACTATTTTAAAAGGTTTTTATTACTATTTTAAAAAGGTTTTATTAAAAGGTTTTTATATAAGGCTATATAAATCTAACTATCTGTTTAGTTACCTCTCTGTACTGGTTTTCTAATATATTTGTACTTTAATTTTTTTCCCTTAAATCCTCAATCCATTTGGAATTGCCTCTTTCTTATCTGAGTATATTTTCTTAGTCTTCTTTTTGAACCATTAAATGTTTAAATTTCTCAAGATTTGATTTTAATCTCCTTTTATATACCCGAGCCATAAATTTGAGTGCTTATATAGGCCAGAAGATAATATAACTGAGTGAAGCAAGCAGGGTTGGAACTGGTAAACTGGAGGAGCATAGGAGTAGCTATTACTTCATGAGCTCTAGCTCAAGGGCTACCAAACTTTTTATGTAAAGAGCTAGATAGTAAGTAATTGGGCTTTGTAGGACATGGTCTCTCTGCAACTATTAAATCTGCCATGGTAGCATGAAAGCAGCCTTAGACATTATATATACATGAATGGGTATGGCTGTGTTCCAGTAAAACTTTATTTAGAAAAGTAAGCAGCAAGCTGCAGTTGCCAGTCTGCTTTAGCAGGTTGTTGTCTTTCAGTATGTTTCTAGTTGTTTTCAAGAGAAGCCCCAAATTTGCATTTTTTTCTCAAATCTTCCTATTTTTAAATGTTAGCAACTAATTGTTAAAATTTTTACAAATAGTGTGACACAAGGAAAACATGTCTGAGGTTAGGTTTAGCCAACTGGTCACCTGTTTGCAGCATCTACTTTCTCCTTCAATAGTATAATCATTACCACAACCAATTACCTTCTATCCCAAATTGGTGTTTCCATCCTAGACCTCTCCTCAGAGCTCCAGTTCTGAACATCTGTGTAACCATTTGATGTCTCCAGTTGCTTATGTCAAAGACACTTCAATACATATTTTAAACTGAATACCTAAAATATGTCCAAATTCCCCATTCCCAACTGGATCCTTTTCCACTAATTGTTTTAATGATACTCATTGTCTTATCAAATCATACATACCAGAAATCTATAAATGGTCATACATTCCACCCCCCTCCTTTATCCACTTCATATTGTATTTACCTACTTATATTCTAAATATTTCTTCACTGTGAGCATTCCTTCATATCCCTTTTGTTTGCCTGGACTACTGTGATAACCTCTTTGATCCCACCTTTGTCCCACATACTCCATTCTCTACATCATATTGAAAGTGATGTTTTCAAAATCAAATCTAATCTTTGCTTAAAACATTTCAACGGCTTCTCATTGCCTTCAGAATAACAGACACAATCCTTGAGACCTACGAAGTCTTGCAAAATCTGGCTTTTACTCATTATTCCAACCTTATTTCACAGCCTGCTGCTTACTTTTCTAAATAAAGTTTTACTGAAACACAGCCATACCCATTCATGTATGTATTATCCCAGGCTGCTTTCATACTATCATGGCATCTACCATCTCTTTTTTGTTTTATAGCAATTCTTAATGGTTTGACATCAAAGGACCTAATGCAAGTCTAAAAATTATTTAAAACTCTAAAGAGATTTTCTTTATGTAGGTTGTATCTACCAATATTTGCTGTATTAGAAATTAAAGCAAAAATTTAAACTATTAGTTAATGCATTTAATAATAATTATAGGCCTATATACATCTTAGCACAGTATAATTTTTATAAAAAGCAGCTATTTTCAGAAACCAACTTCTGAATGCAATTTATTGTGATATGTTGTTTTAGTTGAAGAGTATGAAGAAAACCAAAGCATAATTAGAAAAGGAAGGAGTGTTGTATAGTCTTTTCAGATAAATATGGCTATCCTTCTTTGAAACAACTCCAAAACTGAACAAGTGGTAATTTCTTAAAGAGTAGGTACAATGTGGAATCTAAGGCCATATCCATAAGTTTTTTGTACTCTAGTAAAATAAAATCTGTTGATCTTTCAGAAAATATTGGTTTATTGAATTATGCAGATCTTACATGTTGGCACTTTATGAGGGGAGACCCAAAAAAAACCCCAGAATTATCTTTTGGAGGACGGGGCCCTTGTAGTACATTCAGAATTTGTTCCTCTGAATCAAAAAGTAAACCAAAGTTTCTATCTGGAAGTTTTGAAAAGGTTTTGTTATGATTTGCAGAAGAAACATCTCAAGTTATGGCAAAGAGGTGACTGGTTGTTCCACCATGACAATGCACCCACCCACACCATACTGAGTGTTCAGCAGTTTTTGACCAAAAAGAGCATGACGTGTGCCCTACATTCCCTATTCACCTGATCTCTCCCCAAGCAACTTTTTTTTGTTTCTCCAATGAAAAAAGTCCTCAAAGGGAAATGTTTTGCTGATGTGGAAGAAGTGAAACAAAAAACAGCAGAAGCACTAAAAGGCATCAAAATGGACGAGTTCAAAAACTGTTTTGAGCAGTGGAAAAAAGCATTTTGATAGATGTATTGCATCAAACGGAGTGTACTTTGAAGGTGACTGAAGTTTAAACATGTAAGAATAAATACACAATTTTTAATACTTAAATTCTGGGGTTTTTTGGGTCCCCCCTCATATATTATACTATTTTAAGGGACGGGGTTCTCTTCCCCAGGCTGGAGTCCATTGGCATGATCATAGCTCACTGTAACCTTGAACTTTGGGGCTTAACCAGTCTTCCCGCCTCAGTCTCCTAAGTAGCAACAACTACATGTCCATGCTTACTTTTTTATTTTTTGTAGGGATAGGGTCTTACTATGTTGCCCAGGCTGGTCTTGAACTCCTGGCCTCCAACTCTCCTCCCACCTTGGCCTCCCAAAGTGTTGAAATTACAGGTGTGAGCCACTGTGCCCCGTTGCAATATTTTTTTAAATTACAGTCTTTAATATCACAACTGACCTTATCAGAAAAGTCTTTTAAGTTTTAGGAAGCTGTCAAGCTCTGATTCCAGAGTCCATCTTCTTAACCACTGTGCTTTTCTGGAATATCCCTCTTACCTCAGGGCTTTTGTGCATATTCCCTCCACCAGAAATGCTCACATCAATGATTTTGTATCTGTCACCTGAAACACTCACCAAACCCCAGTACCAACCCTCCTTTCAATCAGTAAAGCCTCTCCGTCTTATTTTCCTACTTCTATTTTTTTCATAGCATCATTTTCCTTTTATTTCTCAGTACTTTCAACATGTGTAGTTTTATGTTTATTTGTGAGTGCTATATTAAATTATTTCTTCCTATATGTGCATAGTGACTGTTTTTCCCCAGTGACTAGTACAAAGCCTAATACATGGTAAATATTCAGTAAATATTTGTTTAATAGAATAGAGTGAAGATGCATAGATAAATGAATGAATAGGATTTATTTGATGTATGAAAAGAGACACACATCTAACTTCATTTTCTTCTAAATGGTTAATCAGTTGCCATGGCACCATGTATTACAAAAAACAACTGTGTCTTTTGTTCACCGACTGAAATATCATCTTCATATTATCTTTAATTCTTGCCTGTACTTGAGTCTATTTCTGAATTTGTTACTTCTTTTTTATTCATCTCTTTATTCCTTAATTTACACTGTGTAAATTATTTTGTCCTTACAAAATAGTTTTATATTAGATACAAAAATTCTAGTATATTCATAGTAGATATATTTAAAGCGATTTAGCTTCCATCTTTGCCCCTCTCTCCTCTGTTCTGATATTTTCCCTATTGGTAAACATTTTTATTAGTTTTTCACTTATCCTTGTTTGGTTTTTAAATACATAAATAATGTATATATTTATATTTCCCCCTTATTTCTACACAACACAATAGCAAACTATGCACACTTATTTACACCTTGCTTTCTTCCCCTAACAGTATATTTGGATCACTTTATAGCAATATTTAGAGATCTTTCTCTTTTTTTTTTTTTTTTTTTTTTGAGTTGGAGTCTCACTCTGTCGCCCAGACTGGAGTGCAGTGGCCGCTCCCGGCCACGGCAGCCTCGACCTGCTGGGCTCCGGCAATCCTTCCGCCTCAGCCTTCCGAGTAGCCGAAATTACAGGCGCGCGCTACCACACCCAGCTGATTTTTTTATTTATTGTAGAGATGAGGTCTCGCTGCCCAGGTGGGTCTCGAACCCGCCGGCTCTGGCAATCCACTCACCTCAGCCTCCCAAAGGCGCGGGATTACAGGCTGAGCCACCGAGCCCGGCGATCTTTCTCATTTTTAAAAAGTTGCATAGTACTCCATCTTTTGTATTCACTTTATGGTCAGTCATTTATGTATAGTAGGACACGTTACTGGTCATGTCATACCTCAGTTAGTGTCTGAATGAATAGCCTTGTGCATGTATCATTTTATATATTTGTTATATATTTGAGAGATCATAGGAAATTTTTGATTAGGAATAAGTTATAATAGCATTGTGAGGAAGCCTAAGCTGACAGTGGAATGCATGTTTGATGTGAGTAGGATTGGAAGACTAGAAACTTAGAAGTCATAACTGTATTCTATACTAAGATGATAACTGCCTGGGAACTTATTACAACAGTAGGTATTCTATAAAATATTGTTTCTCCCCATCCTGATCTAGTGTACTCACTGCCTGTGCATCCACTGATGTACTGATTCATCAGCATCTTTTCACCCACGTTTCTGATCATCTTTCCCCTCTTCTGACTCTCCTGGATAGAGTATACACATTTTCTCTGCACATACTGAGAGTTTATTTCTGTCCATTTGTTTCTCTGTAAATCACCTAATAAGAGTCAAATCCGCTTGTTCCTTGAAGGCATGCTTTTCACTTTGATTAACTCTTACCTGTTACAGAACTGCCTTTTTTTGAGCACAGAAAATGAAGGAAATTTGCATTTCCAATGTCTTTCAGACTTGGAGACGAGACGTGAGAGTGATGATTCAACTTCATTGCAAGATTTTTCCAAAGAAGAGTCTTGCCAGGTTGCAATAATAGACAGACTGACAAGGAATAATGTTTATGACTCCAACTTAGAAACAGCTCTTGAATGTGAAAATTGGTTAGAGAATCAGCAAGGAAATCAGGAGAGATGTTTAAGAGAAATGTTCACCCATATGAATTCATTCTCTGAGGAAAGAGACCATAGGCATGATGTATATTGGAAAAACTTCAGTCAGAAGTCTGTCCTTATTACAGAAGACAGAGTTCCAAAAGGAGCCTATGCCTTTCATACACTTGAAAAAAGATTGAATCAGAAATCAAACTTACTAAAAAAGCAGAGAATGTATAAAGAGAAAAAACCTCATAAATGTGATGATTGTGGTGAACTCTTCACCTACCATTCAGTGCTTATTCGACACCAGAGAGTTCATACAGGAGAAAAGCCCTATACCTGCAATGAATGTGGGAAATCTTTTAGCCACAGAGCAAATTTAACTAAACATCAGAGAACTCATACTAGAATTCTCTTTGAGTGCAGTGAGTGCAAGAAAAGCTTTACAGAAAGCTCATCCCTTGCAGTACATCAGAAAATTCACATTGGAGAAAGACCTTATGAATGCAATGAATGTGGGAAAGGTTTTAATCGAAGTACACATCTTGTGCAGCATCAGTTGATTCATACTGGAGTGAAGCCTTATGAATGTAATGAATGTGATAAAGCTTTTATTCATTCATCAGCACTCATTAAACATCAAAGAACTCATACTGGAGAGAAACCCTATAAATGTCAAGAATGTGGGAAAGCCTTTAGCCATTGCTCATCCCTAACTAAGCATCAGAGAGTTCATACTGGGGAAAAGCCATATGAGTGTAGTGAATGTGGAAAAACTTTTAGTCAGAGCACACATCTTGTTCAGCATCAGAGAATTCATACTGGAGAAAAACCTTATGAATGTAATGAATGTGGGAAAACCTTTAGCCGGAGCTCAAATTTTGCTAAACATCAAAGAATTCATATTGGAAAGAAACCCTACAAATGTAGTGAATGTGGCAAAGCCTTCATTCATTCATCAGCTCTTATCCAACATCAGAGAACTCATACTGGAGAGAAACCCTTTAGATGTAATGAATGTGGGAAAAGTTTTAAGTGTAGCTCATCCCTCATCCGACATCAAAGAATTCACACTGAAGAGCAACTCTGAAAAATCACTGAATGTGAAGAAATGTAAGTCTGTTTATTCACTATGTTGAATACCTGAGCGTTTAAGTGGAAGACCCACGATATACACTTGAGAACCAATTCTATATGTATCTAATTTCATTTTCTTAATATATAGTTTTGAGCCATGTGCAGGATGTTCCTTGTGTCCATTAATTTGACAGTTATGAAAACTTCTTTTCAGAGATTTCAATATTTTCATCCCTAACCTCCTAATTCTATCTGTGGAAATTCAAGAAATCCCAGAGTAAGTAGCAGTTATAAACATGAAATTCAGTTTTCCCTTTTCTTGGTCATATCGGTGCTTTGTTGTAGCCTCTTACTTTGTAAAGTAATTCTTATTTCATAGATTAGGATGAGGGCTTATATCTTTATCATCAGGAAGACATAGTTATTATTTATTACTTCTTGAATCCCAACTACAGATCCTGTTATACAGATTGTGTCATTTCTCCAGAGAGTGTCATTTCTTTTGTATTAGCCTTGAAAATTAAAAAGTCTAAGAGTTAGAAGTTGCTTCTTCCCCTGAAAAGTCTCTGTGTAATTTGATGAACATAACTGGAATGTATTTACAGAAGATTCTAAGTTATGTTCACATGGATTACGTTGGTCATAAATTTATATAATTGTTATCCCTTATGCTATGGAGTATTTCCTTTATTTTCCATTTTCGTGGGCATTTCCCTGAAGTAAAACAATGGGTCAAAGTTTTAACTAGTTGTTGATCAAGTTCCTCTTTTCTTATCCTTGGCATTGAATGAATCTTTGGTTTTCTATAATCAAAATATTAAGGAGAGTTCATTTCTCTACATTATCCCGCTTTCTGCAAGCTATGCTGTGTTACTTTTCGAAAAAGCCCCAGGGATATTGAGGGTCTAAAAAGTTGATGGGTTCAATGTGTTATTATATTTAGGGTCCCAGTCAAGAAGAACTGAAGCAACTGTGAAACACTAGGGAATACTTTCCTGTCAGGTATGGAAAATAACACCAAGAAGACTCCTCTCTTTACTCACTTGAGGATAAGCAGCTTCCCTTCATAAAGAAGTTGCCATTTCTCTGGCCTTTAAATTTACCCACATTTTTGTTGTTATTATCTACATATTGGTTGGTCTTTATCCCAGACCTCTAAGGAAAGTAGGCAAGGCATGAAACCACAATGGTATAGTTGTATAATTTACATGAGTGACCAAAGACCAGTGGTGGGATTAGAACACAAAAGCAAAGTTTCAAACAAATATTAAAATATAGAAGTATCAACTTGTTATTGTTACTCTAGTATATATTACATATTGTATGAAACAACTGTATAAAATTTTAGCAAAAGCATAATTAATCATAGATATCTCTTTCCTCTCCTGATTTCTATCCTTCATGACCAATTCATACTCCTTCCCCTTCCACATTATCTCTGATACTTCTCATTATTCCCTCTCAGTAGACTTTAGTTTTGTGATTGAAGAAATTTAGAAAGATTGAGTTTAAAGAAGTGGTGGTAGTGGAGAGCACCATCATTAAGGATAAATGGAGTATAAATCCAGTAATATGAAAATCAGAGGAAATGAGTGATGAAAGGATCCTTCAGAAAGATATGTTTAAATTAACAAAAAAACTATTAAAGGGGGTCAGGGTGGGTGGGAAAGCTTAGGGACTGAGAGATCAGGGTAGAGGAATGACTGATTCAACAAAATACTGGAAAAGGAGCTCAACTCTTTTCATTACCTTAATAGTATTAACTATTTAGAACAGAAATTCTGTGGCCTGGACTCATGGACTAATTCTGGCCTACCATCTGTTTCTGTAAATAACCTTTTATTGGAACTCAGCCATACTCATTAATTTACATGTTGTCGTTGTTTTTGTGTGCAATGGCAGAGTTGGGTAGCTGCTGCAGAGATTATGTCTTTGGGCTATAACAAAGTGCCATAGACTGGGTGACTTAAAAACAACAGAAATACATTTCTCACGATTTTGGAGACTGGGAAGTCCAAGATCAAGGTACCTGCAGATACAGGATCTGGTGTGGGCCTACTTCTTGGTTAATATAAGGCATCTTTTCACTGTGTGCTCACATGGTAAAAGGGGAGAAGTCTGGTCTCTTCAGTCCCTTATTAAAGTGCTAGTCCCACTCATGAGGGCTCCATCTTCATGACCTAATCATTTCTGAAACACCCATCTTCTCATACCATCATATAGCTTATTAGGTTTTAACATATGAACTTTGGAAGACATATTTACCCCATAGCAGATTGTATGTCCCCCTAAACCTAAAATCTTTACTATATGACACTTGACAGAAAATTTAATGTTACAGAAGAGTATGTTAGAGATAATTGGAGTCAGGAAAATAAAAGAGATGGGAAATGATGCATCAAAATAAAACTCTAGAGAATGATATAATAAACACTGGAGACTCAGAAGGAGGAGGGGGGAAGGAATGCAGGGATAGAAAATCACCTATTGGGTTATATTGGGTGTGCACAGGTGGGGTTGGTGAATACCCTTAAAGCCCATGCCAAAACCATTTTAACCCCCTAAAGCTATTGAAATAAAGAACATATATATATATATATATATATATGTATGTATTCATATATATAGGTATATACCAGGGTTGCCAAAAATATGTATATACATTCGCTCAAAAGAGGCTATTAATCAAATGAATGCTACTATCATGTGACAGGCAGAAAGTAGAATTGATCAGTGCAACCATCCACCAAGTGTGACTTGTTATTGGTTTATATTGAGTATTACAATTTTAATATGGTTTTTTCCTTTCTTAAAATGTGTATACTTTTTTTGGCACCCTCTGTATATATGTATGTATAGATATAGGATGTTAACTATATACTGTCAAGAGAATTCAAATTATGGAAACTTTCAATATGCCAAATGCTTGAGTATAAAATTCATTTGGGGGCCAAAATTTGACTAAGGGAATGAGGCCAACATGGGCTTTTCAAAATTGAGTTTAAGTTCTGCTGTCCTCACTTAGAAGTTACGTGACCTTGAAAAAAGTTACTCTCTCTGACTTTCAGTTTCTTTAAATTAGGTTTAAACAATGGGAATAAATCATCTCCTAAGAGTATCATGAAAATTAAGTAAGACTGCATATAAAGGACTTGACACACAATAAATAGCTATAGAGAAGACCTCCCCTTCATGCTTGCACTCTTTCTCCATTTCTCTCTCTCTCTCTATATATATATATGGCTAAACATCAGTCAGTAGAAGTTACTTAAGAGTGGGTGTATCTTCCACACCTTTTGTTTACCAAAGAAGATCTGTGACCATCCTACTTTCTGGCTTATAAAGATGGGGTTTCACTTCTTTCTACTTTTGCCTCCGTCTGTTGCTGTTCCTCACACAGCCTTCTTGAGACCTCCTGGAACTTGCTTTTTTCTTTTTAGGTATCACTTAAACAGGAACTAGCTGATGGCTCCAGAGACTCAAGTTTGCAATCCAATTGCAGTTGAAATAGCATTAAGGGACTTGCTCTAAGTTATTTATACTGGGAACTTTGGCATTTCAGCATTTGTCCTTTTTATACCTGATGCTCAACCTCACCACATGTTTGTACTCCCATATGAATCTTGAAAGTTTTAATGTTATGCATTTCAAGTGTTTTTGGTTATCTATAAACAAAATTTGTTCTTATTGGCCCACTGTCAATAAAGATGTTTGTATATGTATTGTCAAAAACTTTTGTAAATTGTTTTTAAATTCTCCTGATGTAAGCATATTTAAAGATGTAATGAAGGACCAACCATAAAATATCTTATATCATTCAGGAAACCAGTCACATTTCTAGTTTTCATCTGGGCTTCAGATTTCTGGAGTGATGGAATGAGAAATACCCTTAGTAGCCAACATATCTGTGAGAAAGTTAAGGAGCAGAAGAAGGTAGTTTCTATCACAGTGCTGAGTCCTCAGGCCAGATGCAGGCATCACTCAGCAGGGGTAACTGGGGGAAAGGGTAGAAAAGAACTTTATATAAAAAGCACAGTTAAAAGTAGGCAAAATATGGTTTAAAAATTGATTGATGTAAATTTTGAATTACGTCTGGTTTTTGAGATGACTATGTAACATCACCCAAAAGTATAAAAACAACAGTATAAGCATACCAAACGTCATTCCAATTTTTTGTCGATTAACTGGTTCTATTATTATTATTATTATTATTATTATTATTATTTTAATTAGAGTCTCACTTTGTCACCCAGGCTGGATTGCAGTGGTATGATTACAGCCACCATAACCTTGACCTGCTGGATTCAGGCATCTTTCTGCCTTAGCCTCCAAGGAACCACAAGCATGTGCCACCACACCTGAATAATTATTTATTTATTTATTATAGAGACTAAGTCTTGCTAAGTTACCCAGGCTAGTCTCAAACTCCTGGATTCAGACAATCCTCTTGTCTTCACTTCCCAAAGTGCTGGCATTACAGGTGTGAGCCATCATGCCCAGCACTTGTTCATTTATCTATTAAGTCTTTCACAATTATTATTTTTAGTCGTGATCTCACTTAAAATATATATATATGTGTGTATATATATATATATATATATATATATATATATATATATATATATATACACACACACACACACATATATATCAGAACAGAACTCGAATTAGAAACCATATGTCCCTGCTTTTTCCATTCCTTTCTGTACCTAATTCTTTCTAGGCCCCAACTGGGTAGTCTTGAGACCCACAGCCACATGAGTTATCCCTCACCATAAGTTTTATGGATGGTTATTTCCCTGTGGTAATACATATAACTTAGCTTTATGGATTATTACTGTACAGTTTCAATTAATGTCTTCAAAAATTTGGATGTTCTCACTGAATTGTTCTTTACATTTTTCATGATGTAATCTATTATTTTTAAGCCTGTTTGTCCACAAACCACATGATGTGCCCTTAGATTGAGCAGACTGTACATAAAATGTACATACCTCCCCTCCCACCAATTCACACATAAGCACATTATTGCTGTGTCAGAAGAGTTCACATATCTGGGGAATCTGAAGGGCGAAACTGAAGGCTTTGCTAGATCAAGGAGTGTTTGCCTCCATCTCTGCTCTGGTTTCCTCTGTGTTGGCTCTATTTTCCTCAATCTCCTGTGGTGACATGCATGCCTACTAGCAAGTGCAGGTGATTATGGCTTTTAGTATTCACATCCCTAAGGTCAGAACCTCTTTCCAAATAGCTACAGCAAAATCCCCAAGGCTACTTCTCAGCTCTGTTTGTGTCATGCTAACCATTGAACCGTTTACAGCCCTAGAAATGGTGTCCTCTCATTGACCAGGTTTCAGTCTGTGTAAACCCTGAAGAAGGGGAGGGTGGAGTCCATCCCACTGACACAACTTGTACTGCAGGTGGGAAGGGGAGTGCTTCCCTAAAAGAAATCCAAGATACTGTGCAGGTAAAACACTACAATTGGAAAGCAATCTTCAGCATGAATAAGTCTATCTGGCCTTCTCTGTCTCAATTTATATCCCCCAGACAGCAGTTTTTCAAAGATCAAACAGTGACACTGACAAAAAAGCCAGAACCAATGGAAAATATTTACAACATCGACTTTATAGGATTTCTGTGGGATTATATGAAATCATATACGTGAAAGTGCTTTGTTGCACATTGCAGAGTTATATTTCAGTGGTAAT